TTATATATAGTATAATTTCGATTCAAATTTTGTGTATTCGAAGTCAATATAAAATGGCAAAATTATGTGAAAAATATCCCAATATATGAGCTTTAAGCCAGAGGCAAAAAGTTAGTTGGAATATTACTCAATTATATTATATTTGATTATATTACAATCTAATGCTAATTATTTTTGTATTTCATCAGTAAACCTCTTCTTGTGGGTTCAAGATCTTAAATAAGTAGAAGCAAACATAAATATTGAGTTTGAAGAATGACTATATAGAATTTTTAACATAGCAATTATACTTACCGAGATAGCTTCGTCTTGAATTTTTAATTTTTGGTAATTGAGAATCTGACTTTAAAGATTTAGAATGCTTCTTATCCCATATTACAAGCTTTTTTGATATCTTTGCTTTTTTATTATTATCATCAATACCTACTTCCATATTATCTTCTGAATCTGAATTGCTAAATAAGGAGCCGAATTTTCTATTTTGCTTGATCATTGTTGAATGAACGAAAAAAACAACACTATGTCATACACCAGAAGAACTGATAGATTTCTATAAACTAGAATATTGGATCGGAAGGCAACTATCTGGCCCTGTTTAACATGAAAAGCTAATTTAAGTTCAGAAAATACCAATTGCCCACCCTCAAATACTCCAAGTAGGCACACTACACAAAGTGAATTGTAGTAGTCTTTTAGATCCTAATGGAAATGGCAAATAGCGTTAAAGTTAATTGCCATAGTAGGAAAGATCCTGAATGACTTAGGAACATTTGGACCAAGATCCAATTTTTTCATCTTCGCATATAAGGTTGGATATGCCAGCTGAAAATAATTATTAATAGCGTTGGATAATGGTTAGAGGCCTTGAATTAGATTATTAACACATTTTCAATGATTTTGGTGGTGTGAAGATGCCATATTTGCCATGGTATATGGTTCATTATTGCTACTCGTGAAAGCACCAAAAGTCTCTACTATTTGTTTGGCAAATTCTTTAGATTAATGTAGTGAGTTATGGCAAGTGTGCTGATAATAATAATCTACTACTGCTTTGGCATTGTCTGCTATCACAGAATTTGAAAGGATATAAAAATCTACTATCGTTTTACCTAATGTATTTTTAGAACATTGAGGCTTGAGGACATGTCTATATCCACTAAGGTTAATGCTATACATAACTTTTTTTGTTGTTTCGTCTGCAAGATTAAGCTTTTCTTTTAAGTTTTGTTAAAATGCCTTAGGAATAATATAATGCTCTAGAGGTTTTTTCTGAGCCTCTGTCTGCTAATTATGTGCATGTAATATTTTTGCCCAAAAATGATGGCAATGCTCTCTAAACTGTTTGTAGTAAGTTTTAGAGGTTGTAAAGTATGCTCATCTTGCAAATTCCATCTATTGTTTACATGTTGAATTGGTGTTAAAAATATTATTAGAATATAATTTATTAAAAATCTCTAACTCTAGTAAGTTTAGAAATTCTGTAAGTACTTCAGAATAGGATGGGATTGATTGGACACTTTGGGGTGGTAAAATTTTATCCATTACTAGTTTTGTATTAATATAAAGTTGATTCTCTTTTTGTCGTTTCTTTTCTAAAAGCTTCTTAAAAAATATGAATTTTGAACTTATAAATACGGAAGATTGTGAATGATTAGTCAATTTAAGATCTCTTACCAGAAAATCTTCAGATGTCCACAGATATTGGATATATTCTTGAGATTGCTCCTTTGTGGACAAATGTGTCATTCCTTGGGTTTTATGCTTGACCAAAATAAAAAAATAAGTTAGTTTATAGTGAAAAAATAATAGATGGTTCTAAAAAAATATATTAATTTTATTCATTCATCCAAGTAGATACATTCATATTATTCTACATGGTGTAGCCTAGTGGTTTAAAACCTGGGAAGTCTGTTGGACCTTCTTCACCTTGCATATGCCCCATATAGAAGAATGTCGATCATACCTTAGAAACTATAAAAGGTAGAATACCTTATTGAAATATATGCTTATATAAAAAGTCAATTAGCTTACTTTCTGAGGATCATAAAATATGTTTATTTTTTCGATATAACTAGTTTCAGCATTGTAACTGGGACCCTCTTCAACGATTAAATGGTCTGGGTCTTCGACTTTGGCCTTTTTTATAATATGTAGTTCTTTTTTACGTAAGTTTCTTTTGGAGGCCTTCGATAATAAAACATTTGGCGATGATATAGTGATAATACGGTAAGTAATTTTATAAAAATAAAAAAAGAACAAAATATTCTTTTGAAAACTAACAAATTCAGAACAGAACTTTGTAGTGGAGATAACTCTTTTATTATAAATTTCAGTATATAAGATCAGTGTTTAAAATTCGTTGTGCATGTATTGTTTTTTGCACAAGATTTATAATACATGCACAAAATTTTTTTTTCGCAAATAGCATAACCACACAAATAATTGTACAAATTAAATAATATGCTTCTAATTATATTGATTACTCGCTTAAGAGAAATATTAACAAAATAATTATTGAATATTAAATAAGTTAATTAGCAATTATGAGAATTAATTATTAAATATATTCGAAAAAGTATTTTTTATTTTTTTTTAGTTCAAAAACTTTAAACTTAAATTGAGTTCTGAGATAGTAATAGTATGAAAATTATTTAATAATTATAGTTTCAAGACTGCAAGAACATTATAATTACTAATTATCCATTTATATAGATCAATAATAATTTGTTTTTTATTTCTTTAATCATCTAACGAGCAAATTTGCATACTAAACATAATAGTATTTAAAATGAATAATTTAAAGAGTATAATGCTATTTATTAAAAATATCAAAACAATAAGACGAATTTTTTATAAAAGTATTTAGTAATAATTAATTTATACATTTTATTATTAATTTCAAACTCAAATATGATTAAAATTAAAGGCAAATGTAAAATTAATAATGAATTAGAAACTCAAACACAAAAAAAATCACATAATTTGCCAAATCCTCCTTCTTCATGGTTAAAAAATTGGGAATAGTTAGAATATCTTAAAACTGATAGAGCTTTGCTAATGTTTTGTAAATTATGTAAGACTGCAAAATTTGATAATGCATTTACTCAGGGAACTAATATTTTTAAGAAAAATATTGTCAAACAGCATGATGAAAAAGATCAAAAGCACCAAAGAGCCAAACAACAATTTCAGCATTAATCCTTCATCAACTAAATGATAATGATATGAAAATTATACAACAAATGAAATGTGTTTACTTTACAGCAAAAAAGCATCTTTCAGTTAGTATATATCCTGATTTATTTAGTTTAGTTACGAATAGTAATAATATTTCATTAGATCTGAAAATACTTAAATTTTCTGCACTTAGCTTACAAGAATCTTCAGAAAATAAAAGTTATGGTACCTATTTGAATTATACTGCAGCTCGAAATTTTGCTACGGCAATTGTACATGTAATTGAAAAAGAGCTTATTAGCGAGATTGAATTAGCAAAACATTGGAGTATTATGATCGATGAAAGCACTTCTATGGATGAAAAACATCTCGTTATTGCATCACAATATATAATATCCAACTTACCAATTATTCGTTATATAGGTGTAATAAAATTAGAAGACTGTAGATCTGAATATATTTTTGAAAAATTAAAAAATTTTATATCTGATAAAGGTTTAAACATTGAAAATATTGCATATTTTGGTAGTGATGGCACTTCAACTATGATTGGTAAATTAATAAATATATATAGTATATTATTATTATAATTAATATATTTTTTATTAACATTAACTATATAAATTATTAGGTTCTAAAACTGGTGTTTCAACAAGATTAAAGCATTTAAACCTATTTATGACTTCAGTGCACTGTATTGCACATCAATTACATCTTGCAGGTCAGAACATGACTAAAGAAGTTTCATATTTCAAAGAATATGAATCTATATATAAATCATTATATAGTTATTTTAGTGGTTCATATAAATGAATGTTAAATTTAAAAATGTTTCAGAAAACAAATGATGAACCACAATTATGCTTACTTAATATTATCAATACTCATTGGCTTTCTATGTCGAATACAGTTCATAACTTACATCAAATTCTTGATTCTGTTAAGAATGCTTTAAACTATGATTTTATAACAGCTGACAATAGGTGAGATAAAGAAAGGGCCAAAAGATTAATTGATCATTTAAATTTAAACTTTGTATTAATTACAATGTTTCTCGCTGATTTAATGTATATTTTAACTAAATTAATTAACATATTTCAGCAATATCATGTAACGATTTCTGATGTTCAATTTAATTTAGATGCAACAATATCAGCAATTATGACACAATTTATTGAATATAATAACACTCCACCAACATATGGAACACTCTTATCAACATATATGAATGAAAATTTTATAAATCTAGAACAACTTCCATTTTCGATATTTGATTTTGCAAAAGCATTAATTCAAAGTCTAAAATCCTGTTTTCCAGACACAAATTTATATAATGCTATGAAAATCTTTGAGCCAAGTTTATTATCTCATAAAGAATGTGATTTGTCAAATTATGGAAATGCCGAAATTGAAATACTTGCTGATTTCTATGATAATAATAAAAATACTAATAATGGCAAATAATTTCAGCATTAATAGATAAACAAGAATTAAAACAAGAATAGGGTGTAGTAAAAGAAATGATAAAATCTATTTGGGAATTTAATTGTATAGATGGATGGCATTTTATTTTTTCTACAAAATCATATTTTTGTATTGAATTTTCAAATATTTCTTTACTTGTAAAACTTACCCTTATAATTCTATTATCTAATGCTTATGCAGAACGTATTTTTTTTTAACATAAATTAGCCAAAACTAGGATTT